ACTTCAGCCCAGCCGAACTTGAGTGGGTAACCAAGGAGAAGGGGGCCACACTCCTCTATGCCCTGCTGGTACGGGTGGAATGAGGGAGTGAGACCTCACTACTACAAGCACAGTTGGGCCTCGGGCCCGTGGACTCCGAGTGACGACTGCCTCCGCCTCATTCCAGTGGCCCACAGCATGCATGGTGCTCATTCTGGCAGATGCGCAGGAGCATGGAGGCAGCCTCAGATTTAGGTGGGAAGTGGAGGACATCTCCATGTCCAGAGCCTCAGAACACTCTGAAGTGGAGGAGCTGGTGGGGAACCCAGTTCCAGGCCCTGGGTAACCCCTCTTCATGCACTGATTTGGGGAACACGACTCCCTCTGACTCCCTCCCCTGTATCACTTAATTTATTTCCGTTTTTGTTCCTGGTTACTGTGAATTCCAGAGGAGTCTCCCTGTGCCCCACATGAAGCTGCTTTTTCCGGTGGCCACCAGGCAGGAAAGGGGAAGGGCGGGCGCAGTGGAGGGTTTGGGTCCTCTGTACAGTTGTCATGACTCTGATTTCGAAGGAGCCAATAAACACCGTCTCTGAGCACCTGCGTCGCCTCTCTTGCACTTCCTGAGGGCGTTCCTGGCCGGCCTGGTCAGGTGCCCAACCGCGGGACCAGAGCTGGCCCGGGCGGCTGGCGCGCCACCAGAAGGGGAGTCCAGGGCTGGGCGGCCTGGGGTCGGCTCAGTGGAGAGGTTTGGACGCCACGGGTACCCGTCCTCGGCACTTCCGCCTTTTCCTTCTGCCCAACCCTTAAAGCCCCTGGATGTTGAACCCGGAAGGATTAAGCCCAATTACCGGATGTGACGTTTGGCCGAGGCGCGCAGGTGGGAGCGGAGAAAGCACAGAGAAAGGGTAGGGAGGGGCTGGGGCCGGGTCTGGTGGGGCCGGAGGCGAGAGCCCCGAGGCTAGAGACCCCTAAGCACGCGCGTGCGCGCTGCAGCAGAGGTGGGCGGCCCCGCGATCGGGCGGCAGGTCCCGGACACGTGACCGGGGCGGCGGGCGGCCCTCCGACTCCGCCGAGAGCGCGATTGTCTTGAGCGCTCGCCTGCCCACAGGCCCCGTCCCAGGTCCGGCAGTCAGCGACAGAGCCGGGCGCCCACGGCCCGTGCGCCCCCGGCAGCACCATGCCTGCGCTCCTGGAGCGCCCCAAGCTTTCCAACGCCATGGCCAGGGCGTTGCACCGGCACATCATGATGGAGCGGGAGCGCAAGCGGCAGGGTGAGTTGGGGCCGCAAGCGGCAGGGTGAGTTGGGGCCGAGGCGGGAGGGCACACACCCATGTGGACACCGCCGTTCCAGACCCCACCCACAGGCAGATCAGTGCTGCGGTAGGAGCTAGTATAGGGATGGAACAGCCCCGAGGTGGTGGGAGTTTAAATCCCCAGGTCTGAACTCCAGAATTCCTCAGCTGGAAAGGACCTTGGAGAGCACCTGATGAACCTCACCTCTCCCTGTCTCCTTGCAGTGATTGGAAGCCTCTTACCAAGAGCACTGGGATAGCCGTTTTTGCTGGTTTTCAGTCTCTAACATTCTAATTACTTTAACCATTCTGCCACTTTTCCTGTTTGACCCTTCCTCCAGAGGAAGAAGAAGTAGACAAGATGATGGAACAGAAGATGAAGGAAGAGCAGGAGAGACGAAAGAAAAAGGAGATGGAAGAGAGAATGTCGTTAGAGGAAACCAAAGAACAGGTATGTGTTCCCTTGATCTTTCCCAGCGCTTTCTCCCCGTGGCTCTCCTACCTTCACCTTTTCCTTCCCTCCTTTTCCAGATCCAGAAACTGGAAGAGAAGCTTTTGGCCCTTAGGAGTAGAAGCACCAGCTTTTCCTGCAGCTCAAGAAAGTTTTACACGAGGAGGAAAAGCGGAGGCGAAAGGAGCAGAGGTGGGATTGGAGAGCTAAAATTAGAATTGGGGCAGAACTTCTAGATGGAGCCAGGTAACAAAAGATGGTGTTTGTGGCAAGAGGAGCCACTTGTCCTTGATGTTTGACCTGCCTTCCTTTCAACTCTAGTGACTTGACCACTCTGACATCAGCTGCATACCCAAAGAGCCTGACTGTTCACACGGGAACTCATCTCCTCAGCATGCAGGGTGAGGATTAGACACCACTTGTCAGAGGGGCCCTCCTGGGCCTCCCAGACTGCCACTTCAGCATCATGAAGCCCCTCTCCGTCTCTAGGGAGCCCTGGAGGACACAATCGCCCAGGCACCCTCATGTCAGCTGACAGAGCCAAACAGATGTTCGGACCCCAAGTGCTTACAGTAAGGAGTAAAATTGGGTGTTTCCCCTTTTACTTCCACCCACCTTACCAAGCCACTATTCAAGCAATGAGTGTGACACTTAAATGTACAGAGAAAAAATGGAAGCATACACAGTCACTTGAGAGTCTGCTTTCAAGTTTACAGCGAGTTCTCATCCTTCTCAGACCCGACATTACGTGGGCTCAGCAGCTTTCACAGGGACCCCAGAGCATGGGCAGTTCCAGGGCAGCCCAGGTGGTGCCTATGGGACTGCTCAGCCCCCACCTCACTATGGACCCGCTCAACCAGCCTATAGCCCTAGTCAGCAGCTCAGAGGTAAGTGGTGGGAAAAGGGGAGAGGGGGTGCTTTCCTCAGGCCCAGAGGGTAATGTTGTCAACAGAGTAAAGGGAGGGTCTAATGGCTGTGCCTCCTTTTTCAGCACCTTCAGCCTTTCCTGCAGTGCAGTACCTGTCTCAGCCACAGCCTCAGCCCTATGCTGTGCACAGCCACTTCCAGCCCACCCAGACAGGTGAGAACACCCCATTCATGGGCCCTGGGCCCTCAAGTTCTCCCTTTCCTGTTCTCTATTCACTTCACACACACACCTTCCCCCACCCAGGGTTCCTCCAGCCTGGTGGTACCCTGTCCCTACAAAAGCAAATGGAACATGCTTACCAGCAAACTGGCTTCTCTGACTCAGTGAGTGTGGAGCTTGGGAGATCAGGGGAAAGGGCTTTTGCTATGGGGAACCCCAGGCTTCCTCGGGTTCTGACTCTGTTCTCTGCAGTCCTCCCTGCGCCCCATGCACCCCCAAGCTCTGCATCCGGCCTCTGGACTCCTCGCCTCCCCCCAGCTCCCTGTGCAGATGCCATCCGCAGGGAAGGTAAGGATGGCGTACCTGACACAACTTCTATAGTCTGTGGAAAACAGGATTGGGTAGGACAGGCCCTCATCCGTAGTTTTCCCTTCTTGGGGGAGGTTATGTGGGGATGAAGCGGAAGGGAGAACACGCACACTGACAAACCCCTTTCATCACCACCACCAGTCCAGCTTTGCTGCTACTAGCCCAATCTGGCCCCTCGCTCCCTTTCCTCCAGCACAGCCAGAACCCAAGATTCTATCACAAGTGACCATCAAATTTCATCTTCAACTGCACCCCATCTCCTACCTTGGGTGAGGGTCCCTGGTATCTCCTAGGCCAATAAAATTTATCTGCCATTGCCCCTGGCTACTACTGTTTGTGTTCACCCCCACCCAGGCCATGCTAAGGCTGCTTAGAGGGTAGGGGATAGGTAACATGTCATGGCAAATGAGTGTTCCCAGACTGGGGACACTCGGATGATTGTAATGAACTCACTGACACAATCTAATCTATAATCCATTTTTGGTTCCGTCACCAAGTACCCATTTATTCAGAGTAGCCAAGTTGGGGCTTCATATTAAACTTGTAGTTTTATTCAGGTTTGATTTTAACAAATGTGTCAGGGTAAGAGCCCACAGGAAAGGGTGAAGCCCACGGGGGCAGGGCCCTCCCAGATGCCTGTGGAGGGGGACAGGTCCCCTTTCCTCTCCTCCTCTTCCCTCTCCGGCTAAAGGGATTTGGGGAGAGACATAGGCATGGGGAAGGAGCTGGTCCCCAGTCTGTAGGGCGGTGCTTGGGATAAAGGGCTATAGGAACAGAGACCAGACCAGGGATGAGTTGGGGGGGGGGGCACACGGACCATTTGCCAGAATCCACGGCTGATTCCAGAATTAAAAAAAAAAAAAAAAAAAAAAAAAAAAAAAAATCTAACCACAAGCAGCACCCACCCCATCTCCCCCACAGGGCTGTAGTGTGAGGGGAGAAGAGGAAGGCAGCTTCACCGAGGCCATGGCTCACTCCTGGCCAAGGAAACAGGATGAAGGGCAGGGGCTCCCCAACAGATTGAGGGGGTGGAGGAAACCAAAATAAAACATCAAATAAATTGTGTAGGAGTCCAGCCAAGGGCCGGGGCCAGAGCTGAGCCAGGCTGGGGGAGGGGGCCTCTGCAGGCTGGAGGATCACTGCGCCACCACCGCCACCCTGTGTACAAAAGAGAAACCAGGTAAGACAGGATAATACCTTTAACAGGAAGAAGGGTTAGGGGCCAGAAAGCCTAGGACAATTAAGACTAAAGCATCCACAAAGTATGTGAAGGGGGCTTAAGGGAGTTTGTGACACTCACCTGGGAGCCAGTTATTTTGCCATGGCCTTGATTGCAACAGCTGCCTCCTCCGTCATGGCAGACAGCACTGTAATCTTCAGGGAGCAAAAGGGAGAATCAGAAACCTGAGCTCAGGGACCACGCACAAGGAGCAAAGCTGGACACAGAAGTGGGTGGGTGGGGCACTATACCAGGATCTCCTCTCCACAGTCGTACTTCTGCTCAATCTCCTTGCCAAGGTCTCCCTCAGGCAGACGAAGGTCCTCCCGCACCTCCCCACTGTCCTGGAGCAGTGATAGATACCCATCCTGGATGCCAATCAGCTGGGGAAGAGAGGGAAGGAGGTTGACACAGGGTCTGACACACCAAATACCATCAATCAGTATCTGTGCCCCCACCCCAACTGACTAACCCTACATCAAGACCATCCACATACCTGGAAATCATTCCTTTTGATGTTGGGAACGTCCATATTATGAGTTGACGGGCAGATATCTTCATATTTCTTCCCAGTAAAGATGTCAATACCGACCAGGTGGACCTGTATGTACACATTACATCAAAGAGAATCCCAACTAAACTTCAGGATGGAGGAGATAAAAGTTCAAGTTGTCCCTGGTTGGTGAGGGAAGTTAGACTAGATTGGGCAAAGATTAGGGGAATTGGTAATGAACCATAACCAAAACTTCTAAAAGAAACCTGAGGTGAAAAGACCACCATTGAGGCTGGGTTCACAGCACAGGGAACATGCAGGCTGGTTTTGGAGTAGTCAGTTATCTCGAGCTAGCAAATCATTGGTAAATAAAATGCTAAAAACTTGGAAAATAAGAAAGGTAGAAGGGAAAGAGCAGAGAATACAGGAAGGACTGAGAAAGGAAGAGAGCTGAAAAAATTACTTAGGGGAAATCAAAGAATGAAGCAAATAGGAAATAAGAAAAATGTGAAGTAGGAGAATCTAGGACATCAGGGGGTAACCCAGGATTTATGCCAAGTCAACAGAAGACAGGGTTGAACTTTTGAGGAAAAAATAAGTCTGAAGTGCCAAGGAAAGCACTGGGCAAGAATGTTAGGGCCCAAAAGGCAAGGAGGCTGTTAACTCAAGGAGAGGGGGCTGCCTCCCTGGCCTCCTTCAGGGAAGGCTGTATTTCGTTAGGACTGAAGAAACCCTGGGCAAAGTGATACAAATAAAGAGCACCTATAAAGGGTCAAGGAAAGATGAACAGAAAAAGTGAAAGGATGGAGCAGCTAAACAGCCAGAGCACAAAGGACCACCAAGAGAAGTTACAGGTTCACACAGAAGGGAGAGGAGTTATCAGAGAATGATGGTGGAAGAGGCTCAAGGCTGGTAGCAAGTGTAGAAAGGAAGTATCCAGGGCTGAGTGCTGAACACAAGGAATTGGATAATAGATAAGAAAAGAGTTAGCCGAGACTGGTTTGGCTCAATGGATAGAGCGTCGGCTTGGGGACTGAAAGGTCCCGGGTTCGATTCCAGTCAAGGGCATGTACCTTGGTTGTGGGCATATCCCCAGTAGGGGGTGTGCAGGAGGCAGCTGATCGATGACTCTCTCTCATCGATGTTTCTAACTCTGTATCCCTCTCTCTTCCTCTCTGTAAAAAATCAATAAAATATATTTAAAAAAAAAAAAAAAAAGAAAAGAGTTAAATAGAAGGCTAGGACTGCTGATAGCTTGCTGCCAGGAGCCCCATGGGCAGGGAAATGTGGGGAAGGCAAGATGTGAAGCGGTGGAATTCTAACCTTGGCATGGCCGTGCTTGCCAGTCTTGGAGGTGGACATCTCCACAATCTTACATGGCCGTCCTTTGAGCACCACAAAGCCATTCTTACGTAATGCTGAGCACTGCATTGGGAAGGTGGCTGAGGCCCCTGCATCTCCTGTCTCGAAGTCCAAATCATCTGCCATTTTAAGAGGCTTCGATTCCAACTAGTCAAGAAAAAAACTGGGGTCAGCAAGGATAGAGGCTAACAGTGTCTCCAATTTATCCCATTACTCTCTAGAAACTGCTTCATTTTCATTCCAGATGTTTATTCCATTACCCACTTAAACAAAAATTCCTAGATTAAATACTGACTGTAATCACAAATACTTGAGAACTCATGTGCGTGTTAGGGAGAATAAGCTGGATCCCCACCCCAAATGAAAGTTAAAAGGGACTTGGGAAAAGAAGTTTTGGGGCATTAGGATGTCAAATCTGAGATGGGCAAAGACCTAATCCCTGGGGAGGGGGAGGACTCAGGTGTTACTTGCCACTGAAACCAACTACCCCTTTAGCCCACACATAACCAGGGCTATAATTAGGTGAGCAGCTATGAGCCAGCCAAAGGGCGGGGCTAATGTGGAGGGGAGAAGGGAGGGTGGATACCGGAGGACAGGGCCCCACCCGTCTCTGTTACACCCCCCCCCCACCCTATCCACACACAAGCTAGTCATTGGTACAGGAAACCACAGGGCTCTTTGGGGGATTCCCGCCTCTCCAACAGGCATTTGTAGATGCAGCCAAGGGGGAGAAAGTAGTGTTGTTTTCTAACTGATCCCCCTGCCAAACACCTCGATCTTGTTTCCCAAAGGGAACCCAGGAACCCAGCGTCTCCGTGAGGGCCCTCCCACTTTTCCCAAGATGCTTCGGTCCTGTCGGCTTTTCAGACGGGGCCTGCAAGTCCGTAGAAAGTAAGGGAGTTGGGAGTGGTGAATGACAATAAAACGAAAGCAAAGACTGGTAGTAATTAGTAGTATAACTTATAGTAGGTTAGTAGAATTAAGACTCTAAAACCAGAACTCCCAAAACATACACATGGAGGAAGACAGTGACAAGGTTGTGAGCCCCTAACCGCGGGAGCTCATGTGCCCCGGACTTTAAGGCGCTGTCAGCACCACTGAGTTGGGCTCCCGTCCAATCGCCCTCGTTTTCTCCATTTCTCTGACTTCCAAGCAAGAAACAGTGTCGCTTACTCCTGGCTGGCCCCCCTCACTTCACCTGTTTGGGGGGGAAGCTCCAGGGGCCCATGAGGTGGGAGAGCGCTAACATATGCCCGCAGTGGCTCTCTCGGTGATCACGATCCGGGCCGCCGGCTTCTCCCACTCCTCAAACCTCCAAGCTCCCTCAGGCGCCCACGAGGACCTGCTTCCCCGCGCTGAGGGTTGCCGACTCCCGCCCATGTGGCCGCCCGAGGCTTCCGGTGGCCGGGACTTGGGGGGAGGGGTCCCCGCGCTGCCATGCGGACCCAGTCCACGTTCGGCCATGCGGCCTCTGACCCCGAGGGCAGCCTTCCGTACGGGGCACTTCCGGTGCCGCAGCTGCCCCCTCCTCAAAGGCCGCGCCTGTCCGGAGCCACGCCGGCCTCCCCTCCCCCGCCGGCCGCCAGCTCCCCCGAAATGCCCTCTCACCGAATAGCCCCCTCCCCCACCTCACGTGGCCGCGCGGCGCCGGGTTCTCAACCGCCCAGGTACCCTTGTCCCGGCGGGCCGATCTGGCCCCCGGCCCTCGCCCCGGCGTGACCGCCTGGCGGCCTCTCCCGCGTGGCGGCCTCGCGGCTCGCCGTCCCCCGCCCTGCGTCGCTCCAACGTCACCCGGCGGGACCCAACCGTCACCGCACGGGCTAACCAGGGCAGCACCCGCGCCTTTCCGCACCTCGCGCCGCTTGCCGACCAGACCCCGGCGGCGGCCACCGCCGCTCCTTTCTGCCCCCTCCCCGACCCCCGCGCAGTTCCATCTCTCCTCCCAGGTCCAAGTCAAGGTTCCGCGCACGCGCGCCCTGCTCGCTCTCACCTCGCGCGAACGCAATAACTCGACCCCGTCCGCTCGCCGCGAGCTCAACCGCTGCCTCTGAGCCCGCTGCTGCTGCCGCCGCCGCCGCCGCCGCCGCTGCTGCACACGGGTCTTAGTACGCAGGCGCCGACTCCCCACTGACCAACCAAGCAGCCCTGTGACAGCCGCGCAAGCGTGCTATCCAGCTCCTCCGCCCTCCACCCCCGCACTGCGCAAGCGCAAAGATCCTCCCCAAGCTCCATCCTCCCTCCCACCTACCCGGCCAATGACGTGTACGCGCGACTCCGCCCCTCACTAATACTGAGTTCAGCCCACTAGTAGGCAACGCGCAGGCGCACCCGGTTTTTTAATCCCTTTAACCTCCTCTTCCCTCCCCGTGATAGACCACTAGCCCTACCGGACAGTTCTTGCGCCTGCGCAGTAAGGAGCCCTAGCCTCCACCCTCTGAAGGAAACGCCTCGACCACAAAGCGCATGTGTGTGGGACTCTTGGCCACCCCTCCCACCTCAGACGTCGCTCCTACGCCGGACGTAGGAAGACCACGCCATCGTCTCGCTGGTCTCATCTAGGACGCATGCGTTGTAGGAAACGCCCCACCACGGCTGTAACCGGACCTAAACGCCTCACACGTTTCAGAAAACTTGCCCTGTGAAGTGGGCTCCCTGTCTCAAGACCGCCCCCCACCCACCCGGCCTCAGACCCAGTCGCACACATGCGCAGCAGAGCTCTTTGCCCTCCAGTCGGCCCAGAGCGCCAGTGCGGCCGGGCTATCACCCATCTCAGCTTCGGTTCTGAGCTGTAGGCTCTGCTCTGCCATAGAGTTTCGTTCGGAAAGATAGAGCGGTCCTGTCTCGGCCACCATCTTGTTTAAACGCTTGATCCGCATTGGTCCCTGTGGCTCACGCAGAGGCTATTCTACCTCTGAACCCTGAATTAAGATACTTATTTGTAATTCCCCTTTCCCCCCAATCCAACTGTTCTCTGTGATCTCCAAAACAATTCTCTGCTAGCGCACTTAGAAAAAAAAATTATAAGAATGGTATGTTAAATTCCACTGACGTTCTCTTAAATTATAGATGTCCGTGAAGCTGGAAACATCAACCAGGCCATAATTCTATAGCACATGTGTCAAACACAAGGCCCGCGGGCCAAATCCGTCCCGCCAGGCCTTGCAATGTGGCCCGCACCGCGCTGTCATCACTGCACTCCGCTGCGTTTCCATCACAATGACAGTTTATGACTGTTCAGTAAACCATTCGGCCCGCGATTTAGGCTGGATTTTAGATTTTGGCCCCTTCTCTGATTGAGTTCGACACCCCTATTCTAGAGAATAAAACTGCATTTCCAGCCCTGATCGGTTTGACTCAGTAGATAGAGCGTCAGTCTGTGGTCCCTAGGTCCCGAGTTAGATTCCGGTCAGGGGCATGGGCCTTAGTTGCGGGAGCATACCCAGTGGGGGGGGGGGGGGGGGGGGGGTGCAGGAGGCAGCTGATTGATGTTTCTGACTCTGTCCCTCTCTCTTCCTCTCTGTGAAAAGTAAATAAAATACATTAAAAAAAAACACAACACCCTGCATTTCCTGAAAACTTCTAGTCTCCCACCAGTTCCCAGGTTTCCAGTACCACCTTCATGGCTATTTTGTTTGCTTCAGTAAGCTAGGTGAACAATAGTACTGTGGAACAAGAGGAGCAACTAAATATCTGGGATTAGAATCCAAAATCCTGAATCTGGTTCTTTTATTTTATTTTTTTACAGAGAGGAAGGGAGAGAGATAGAGAGTTAGAAACATCTATGAGAGAGAAGCATTAATCAGCTGTCTCCTGCACACCCCCTACTGGGGATATGTCCTCAACCAAGGTACATGCCCTTGACCAGAACCGAACCTGGGACCCTTCAGTCCGCAGGTCAACGCTCTATCCACTGAGCCAAACCGGTTAGGGCTGGTTCTTTTATTTATTTTTAAATATATTTTTATTGGCCGAAACCAGTTTGGCTCAGTGGATAGAGCGTTGGTCTGCAGACTGAAGGGTCCCAGGTTCGATTCCGGTCAAGGGCATGTACATGGGTTGCGGGCACATCACCGAGGGGAGGTGTGCAGGAAGCAGCTGGTCAGTGTTTCTCTCTCATCGATGTTTCTGACTATCCCTCTTCCTTCCTCTCTGAAAAATCAATAAAATATTTAAATAAATAAATAAATAAAATTTTATTGAGTTCAGAGAGGAAGGGAGAGGGAAGAGAGAAACATCAATAATGAGAATCATCGATGGGCTGTCTCCTGCACGCCCTCTACTGGGGATTGAGCACACAACCCAGGCATGTGCCCTTGACTGGAATCCAACTCAGGACCCTTCAGTATGCGGCTGCTGCTCTATCCACTGAGCCAAGCCAGCTAGGACCTGAATCTGGTTCTTGTTTAAGAATCCTGTGACATGATAAATGTGAGCTGCAAACATCAGCTTGAATTAATACATTTAGGTAGCACACCAAAGGCCCAGTGCATGAATTCATGGACTAGTAATGTCCCTTGGCCTGGCCTGCGGAATTGGGCAAAACCAGCTCTGATATCCGCTGAGGGGTCCCGGATTGCAAGAGGGCAAAAACTAGGCCGAGGGACCCCACCATTGCACTACTGGGGCCGGGGAGGGATGTGGGAGGTTGGCCAGCTGGGGATGGTGGAAGGGACCCAGGACATGTCTAACCCCTCTAGCTGAGTCCCAATCACGGGACCCCAGGAAGAAGCTAACCTACTTGTTGGAGCATCTGCCCCCTGGTGATCAGTGCACATCATAGCAGGGGTTCAGGAGCCTTAGCATATGGTTAGCATATTATGCTTTGATTGTTTGAACAGACAACCAACCCCATGATGGAACACTTAGCACATTAGGCTTTTATTATATAGGATTATACTATCACCCCTCAGCTCTTTCCATTCAATTTTCTGAAATGCTTGCCCTTTCCTTTGTAAAACAAAATTTTCTGGCCCTAGCCAGTTTGGCTCAGTGGATAGAGCATTAGCCTCCAGATCATTCTGGTTTTATTTTGGTCAAGGGCATGTACCTTGGTCGCAGGGCGCTGGTCAGGCTGATGGAGGATATTTCTGTCTCTCCCCCTCCCTTCAGCTCTCTCTAAAAATCAATGGGGGGGTGTGTGTTGGGGAGGTAATATCCTTAGGTGAGGATCAACAACATACATGAGATCACAGTAAACTGTGTCTGTATCTCATGTAAAGATAAATTAAGACAGCTGATGGAAAGAATTCCCATAGAGAGAAATCAGGCAAGGATTAGGGTTCTCTGTGGTATAAATATTTCACAGTG